AGGTATGTCGATACTTATCCCGCCAACTTATATAACAAAATGAAAACGCATTATGATTTATTGAGAAATTAATTTTTGAGCAGTTAGAAAAAATAAAAGTACATGTAATTATACTCTGTATCTAAAATATATTTAGTTTCCTAATCCTAATTCTAAATGTCACATACGTATCAAATAGATATCGGAATAAATGGTATCAATCAGATGATGGTGACGCTGTCGTGAACAATGAACAGTAGTGATCGGAGGACGGTGGCCGTGGCGCGCGTGCCGAAGGTCGTCGTGCGCTTCCTGCGTGCGTGACGCGCATGCGGACCGACCTGCCATCACCAGCCACCACTCGTCACACAAACTGATCACCACCGATGCATCTTGCAACAGGAAGACATGACAATCCCGTTACAAATAAAGAAGACAGATTACGGTAACGCGGAGGTGACCCGGTCGCTTTTTGTCTCCGTCGGACGAGCGCTATTGTCCAAGCTGTACACACAACTCTAATTCATGCCATCGGCACGCTTTACCGCGCTACCAAGCATCGCACACATTACTCAACTTTATCTCTACAGATAATAATTTATCTGTCTATATTGCGCTCAAAATCTCTAAATAGGCTAACTCTATTATCTCTTAAGCGATCTGGCGACATCTCACAGTTTGTCATCCCATTTTTTATCGTATGTTCTGCGAAATTAAAAAAAAAATATTTCCCAGGATCGCGAATCGTGACCAGGGTTAAAAGACTTTTGGTCGGTGGCAATGTACGTTAAAAATATTTTGTTTTTCATCACGTCCATCTCTCGAGCCTCGAGGTCGTCAGCAGGCTGTGTGTGATTGTGAGATACAAAGATACGCGGTGTTGACAGTTAGATATACCAGCGGCTATAAACTTACACCAGTACTGCAAACATACTACCGAATGCGCAGACTACGCAACGGAAAAGTGTAATATAAAAAATCTCTTTTATTAAAATTCAAACATCAATAAAATAAATTTAAACATGTCAACGATTATGTTACGCCGGTTCATTGTTCTAAACATCTAAAGAAAATTTTCCGAGAGATATCAACTCGTCGTGTGGGACACGCGTCGAATTTTTATATCGCATTAATCGAGTTGGGTACGAATGACAAAAACAAAGAACATCACAGGTTCTTGGCACTTTCTGGCCCGGCTATTGTTCTCCGGTGAAACCTCAGCCAGGAGAATGACCCTCTCTATATGGATACGTTTATCATAACAGTACCTGTTTGAAACGACAGGAAATGCCTGGCCCATGACAATGTGTTAACCATAACATCTTGCTTTTATCACGTGGGTAGGGGTACAACGACCTATAAATTGTTCCCTAAATACCTTTAGTAGGTGCACACTGCCTTACAATCATACCTTATCGTGACTGAAAACAATGTTCGATGCACGATATTCGTCTGTCGGGACCCGTATCCTAGTAACGATTCCTGAATTTCAATATTTCGTGAACCATTCTTATACCACGAACATTTGTGTGTTTCATGTTGTTTCAGAGTAATTCATCTGATATTCTATTGTACGTAATAGCGTACAGTATAATTTGATCCGGAACTATTATGACGAATGACATTTTTATTAGACCTATTGAGAATGTAAACAACACCGGCGTGACAACGAGTTGGGTGATACTGTATAATATTTTATGGTTTTTCCATATCGTCAAGTGTCATCTGCTACCAATTAAGAGCTTACCTATCTGATAAATAAGGAGTTAATTACGTGTAGCGAACCGGTTCAAGGAAATAATTGAATCAAACCACAGAGGCACAATTGATTCACAGTTTACCCAGGTACCTGTTTCTGAATGGTACAAGGTACATAATCATTTATTTATTAATAGCCTTATCTAATCAGTTCCCACTTTTTGTTGCGAAAAGCTGTGACAAGTAAAACATTACGCCACAGTGATGTGACTCTACCTACATTTGTTCAGTCACAATGTCGACATTACTGTGAACCCCCGTATCAATAAACTTCAATACTTCACTTCACACAAGAGCTACAGGTTCACAGTTATTGTTACTTCATTCATTGATAAACAATATTCGTTGTCGAGAACAGTTTTATGTTATTTTCGTTTATGTCCCCTGATATCCGTGAACAACAAGGCTACTGAGGCGTGTCTGTTGGTAAAAAGAGACAAACAAAGTAACTCGGGCAATGGAGACTTCAGTATGAAAAAGAAAATACTGAAAGCGGTCGCGTTAGTACAAATATTCAAATGATGAATATAATTACCGTAAGTTCGCCATACAAGTAAGCGGGTCAGTGGAACGCATGCTAACCTTGACACAGCCTCGGCTAGTTTACAAGGTTTTCAGGACTTATCGAAATTTAATTGATTAGATTAAACTTGCCGATTGCCAGTTTCATTTAAGTATCTGTGAAAATATTTTTTATTAAGATTGCTATTTCATATTTTTAATGTAAAAGTAGAATAAATACAATCGCGATTGTTTACACAGTTAAAATCGTAAAGCTTCTGATAGAAAAAGATATCAAACAATAATAAATCTGTATCCAAATTCTTGTTTTGTGATTATAAATATTAACAAGTTTATTAACACGAAAATTATCCAATTTTACATTATTCATGTTTAATGAAGTCATATTTTTATCTTACAAAATTGACCTCAATGCTATATATTTACAAAGATTATAAATTGATAATTTGTAAAATTTTATATATTTTTCTGACCTGTGGTTTCCCGTGGTCTCAATTTAACCGTGATAATTATAAATTGTAATTTACTTCCCTAGTTACTATAATATGTAGTTATCAACCTATTTTCCTCTTGTAAAAATGTCTTCATCTAACTAAAAGGATACACATATTTTATTTATGTTTCTTTGTTTATAAATAAATGATTTCCAATGAAACAGACAACGATGTCGGTTAAATAAACATTATAATATTACCAATGTGTATTCCAAGCGCAACGTATTTATGATCAATATTAAATTCAAGACAGCTTACTAGAAAATATTAGCAATATATGACTGTAATAGGAATGTCTACTTATGCGGCATTAAGTCGTAAGTCCTTTTGGGCTGTGGTCATACAATAGTGGGGAGCTAATACTTTTTCATGAATGTACACTTTTTTTTTAAGGGGGAATATCATCGAATGATTGCTCCCGCCTGGGTGAGGCGGGAGGGAGTGTCAGACTCTTACTGACTAAAAACCACCCCGTTCCTTCTCCTGCACGTCGAGCCGGAGCCCCGGTTACCCGTTAGGTTCTCCGCGACTCCGAATCGGCATCGGCCCTATTGGGCCCCATCTGTGGTGTAGACTAGGTTGAGTTTTGAACAGCCAACATGATTATTTGTATTCATGATACGAGCTCGAGTCCGTCTATCTCAAAATCAGCACAGATCTTTCAAGATTTCTAAGTGCTTAGTTATTTTTCCGCCACGCTATGCGGTCCGCTACTACGTGCTCGCAAGTTTAGTGTGTGGTGCGGTGCGGCACTGCGTTACCGAGTGTCGACCGGTCGCCGGCCAGCGTGCTCTATGACCTAGAACTTGGCGGCGAGCGAGCTCAACAACTTGTAGCATGACTCAAGCCTCGGATTCCGAGAAACGATGAGATTTTATTATTTACTCCTCTAGAATACCCGTAGAAGTAATAATTCTTACTGCACCAACTGTGACTCAGTACACGATTAGAACTTTATATGCACTGTCCGTTTTGTGAGTAAACTTTTTATTGAGTAGGTACTTTACATTGTATTGGCATTACACTCACATTGGTTTAGGTATACGTGTAAAATGTTCCTTTTATTCTATACTTAGATGCAAAACCAAGAATTCACAGATAGTGAAAACACCATGAAATTGTTCTATCAGTTTAAATAAAGTACGGAACATAAATTTCGTTACTGTGTTTTTATTACGTTCTGTCTTACTTATGTACTTTCTCCAATTGAAAACGGCTCTCAATCATCCAACTGACCCACTCATCTGGAATATGCCGCCATATTCTTGTTGCTATGTGAATTTTTACTTTATCTCGAAAGCTAAGAACTTTAATACTCGTTATAAAAGACTTAACATAAGCCAGCTTAACGTAGTCGCTCTCATTTTAGACAATAAACAAAGTAGACGTAATGAAACACAATGACTTTATCTCTTAAAACAGAAACAGATGTCTAGATAACTAGATAATGCTGAAAAAACCAAGAAGAACAATTCATGTCAAGATATATCTTAAAAATATCTGAGATACACATATTTTTCATGTGTTATCTAACCGGATTCGGAAGGAGGATGTTGTTGATTCCATGATTAATTTATAGTCATTGATTCATACACAACAACTTAGCGTATTTTACAAATACTACGTCAATGACGTAACGCCCATTGAAAAAGTATAATGACCAATATCTTGCTTCACCCATACACACACACATGTCGTATATGGTGCGCATGACTCATGGCTACCGCTAAGCAAACGATGTGAGAAGACAAACAAAATGTTCTAGTGTCGAAGCGAAAGGCGAGCCACTTATCTCGGCTGGACTATCTCGTTTTATGAATGAACACGCTACTACAACACCTCCGTGTGTCTTACTCTAGAATGGGACTCAGATTCAATTTAATTCAGAAGCGCCGGTGAGTGGCGTTCCGAGAAACATTGAGTCAGCTACAGCTATGCGCACCTTCATATCGTTTCCGATACCAATGATAATAATTATCGATTATTTGCAGGACGTAGCGGATGTCCGTATTAAGTAAATATCTTAGGACCTAATAATGACTTCACTGAATTGCAGCCAAGTTTCGAATGCTATCGTTATCTACAGGTGATTGAGTTGAATAGCGAGATATTAAATTATATGCGGTTACAACGTAAAATCCATTTCAACGTCAATATTTCCTAATTGTTGCACTAAAATAAGCAAAAAGTTAACAGGTCGTTTTGCGACTGTTTTTGTTTATATGCAAAAAAATATAATTGACTTACCATCGCCTTATCTGCTCCCCCGAAGGTCGGCGCGGCACTACTCCTGGTGAGGAACACGAGCGCTGCCGCTGCCGTCCACAATATCCTCAGGCTGCTCCTCAAACTGACACACGCCATGGTCTCCGATGATATCCTTATACTTCTACTAGATATGCTCATTTGATATTTCCTTATAATATAGTTTTGTAAAAATTATCTAAAGGACTGAATAAATGTCATTACTCTTATATAGTTTTCTTAGCCTATTTGGTAATTTATTGAAATGTACAGTCGTCGATATCTGCGAGCACCACGTTGATATGTTATCTGAAACAAAGAAAAAACAATTACTATCGCAACATGTTAACAACATTACCTAACGATCATCGGTCTTTGAGTGATGCAGTCGGAGGCATATAAATATATTATGACTTAATCACGAGTTTTAGATATAGGTAGGTGGCCACCGTAATAATGTTTATACAATTTCAGCGTACCTACATAGAATATCTGATTTTTTGTAGAGGTCGGAGACACGTCATTTCCGCGACATCCATAGTAATTACTGTGACTCAGCGGCCATCATCTTTGCCCTTATGTAAGATCTTTTTGAATTATCAACATATAAATATTAATGCGTTACAATAACATACAATAAATTATATTGCTTTATAAATATTATATTACTACAGTACCGACGTCAATCAATTTACACTCAGTTCCTAATAATTATACTAAATCATTCATAAATATACATTCCATCAATAATTTCGTGATAAATTATAATATTTATTTATTAAAATACTTATTCGTTTTTCGAAAATGTATATGTCTGAACATCCATATTATCGTAACTTCATATATTATCTATTGTTGTAATACCAATCAATACTGTTTGTTACGCTATAGTAATTCATAGATATGGGTCTGTATGTCATATACAGTCAGATGACCTAAATATTTTTGATGTGAGTTGCTGAAGGCTTGACTATTATACTATACTATACATTATCATTATAAAATGATAAATTGTTTGTAGCCAGCTGAGCTCGAGCCTCGAGTGGATACAATGTGGGGAACTGATTAGATATTCAGCTGGGCTGCATGTCCGTGTACTCAAGAGATTTCTGATTCACCACGGCTTTAATCACTTGCTAAACAAAGCGGAAGAATGAGGCTACGGCCACTGACGGTGATTTTACATTTTTTTTTACTAAGTGTTTTATTTACACATAATAATTATGATACCGTGTTATCATAAGCCATAGTAAGGAGACTGATAACAAGAGTTACATAATATCTACCTGCACTCTGGATTGCATGCGTACCTACATTGCACTAGCGAACTTCTTTTAATGTTTCTCAGTATATAGAATAATTCTATTCTATATAAAATGTAATTGATATGATACTAGTCAATGTTAGTGATGTATTTTGTTTTGATAGATGTATACAATCAGAACCCAAACCGAAAGCGCGGATCTGACAGAGGTGTCGCCAGCAATGTTACGCTCGCCGAAGCGTGACGGTTCGGAGGTGACGCCGCGCCCGCGCCGGTTTCACCGACATTGGATTCGAATCTCTTACCTAACATCATTTACTCCAACTTTTTTTCTATAAACTCAAAACGATTGCATTCAATTGAACCTAAACATTTTCAGTTATCTTAGTGAAACTGATTAGATTTAATTACAACTTAATCGATCTGACCCCGACAATAAAATCGCAATCGATAACCGGGACTGTGTAAACATGATTGTCAAGACAAATCATTTCATTGAAATAGTTAATCAACTTTATGTTTATTTATTATGTTTCATCCGCATAAGAATAAGTCTTAGTTGATTTGTTATAATAAACGTTAGTTTTTCTCTTCTCTCTTTCTTCTATCCAGATGCTGTGAATATTTTGGTTTTTTTAATTTTCGTTTCTGAATTTCTGTTAAAATACCCTCTTAGGATATTTTCTTTCTCTTGTCGTAATGTGTTCTTTTATAACCGCCACTTATTCAGTGGAATAGTAGTTGTTTGACGTGGACAAGCTTTATCAGTTTTTCATATGTGTTAAATTATAGACTAGGCATTCCTTACAATTTACTTTGACGCAAGAAACCTTCAACTGATTAAGAAAAAAACCAACAAGAAGACAAAACACCAGACGACCTGTGCAACATTTTGAACCTTATTTTAATAAACATAATAATATGATGATTCACGACTTTTTATTTATTTTCAACATTTTATGTTATTTATAAACTTTTTTGGGTTTTGTTTGTTTGTTTTTTTTTCGATTGTTTTTCATCGATTGTTTTTTTATGATTACACAGAAAAGTGCTTTAAATAATTAATAATACACTAAGACAGGTACTACTTAATTAGTGACTTTGAAAGGGCGGCATTTATACACGTAATCTTAGAACTTTTTACTTACTTAGACCAACCATTACATTATCAAAGTGGATTACATGAAACACCAAGCGGTCACCGGTGACCGCAACCTATTGTTCTATAATTGTGTCTACAAAACCGGTACTCGACGAGTTAAGCTCATAATTTGTTGATAGGGTTAACAGTAAACGAAACTGCCGTATTCTACATCTTGGTGGACCAGTGGGTGACTGTTACATCACGTTATCATACAAGGATCGGCTGAATCAGAGCTCCTCATTATTTCGCGATATACAAAGTGATGTAGCAGCCTTAAAGTTCGCGCCTGACATCATCAGTTCATTGTACATGCGGCAAGTATTAATGGCGTGCGTTACTCTGAGATGCATCTCAATGAGTGCTGTACCGTGTGGTCCCGGTGACGTGTGCCTGCGCCGTATCGCATTGACACGACATTGGAACGCTTCCTGCTTCCGGATCCTCGCGGGCAATACTAATAACTTACTATTATCGCTATATCATGCTATATGTACTAGTTACTGCGTGATTATTCGCATTATTACAGACATGTGAAAACCTATGATAGTAAATTATATTGTTTACTACCTATATGGAAAAAAGTGTCTGAGCGTCTTAATATAGGTACCTATTATGTATTGATTCCCACATTGAGCTATGGTTTTCTTCTTTCAGGACACTCAGAGTTAAATAGAATGTAGTTTAAATTTGTATGTTATAGGTAGTAACAAGTTATATTTTAGTTATTGTGTCACCCCTTTGAGGAAATATTAAATATAATTTTGACATCACTTTACGGAACAGAATGTTGTTGCCCTGGATAGGTAATTAGGTACCTATACCTCTATATAACTGTTATGGTTCGGGATACTTCTCATCTCCCATTTTCCTCGTTAACTTACTGAAACAGTTACACACGGTTACGGTGGAAACTACCGCAGCGTGAGTCAAGCAATGTTTTGGTTGAACAAGCCTCAGGGTCACAGGTACACATCACCCTTACAGACGTCAATTATTGTGAATAGACAACAATATTGTGAATATTACTAATGTACAGCTTAGGTCATTGCAGTACGGGAATATATTATAACTAATTTGTGGTTTATTATGCACATGTATTTGCATAGTAGGTACTTATATATTTCTGCTATAGAGTAAGAATAAAGGAAATGATTTCCTTGAACATCGGACATTTGTATGCATTGTATTATTACGTCTAATTTATCAGATGCTAAACAAATACGTAGCTAGTAGGTATGACTGATACGTATTGACTTGTACTAAAGTTTTGAATCATACCACTGTCCGAAGCTCCACGTGAACAAAGGCCCACTTTTCTATCCCTCGTTTGTTATTAAACATAATTGTTGCGTGTAGACTAATTGCAATAACAATTGACTATGTTGTATTATTTAGTTTTTTGTATTAAAATAAATTAACATAGTACTTAACGTTAATTGCGATTATTGATTTATATCTCTATTTATCTTTTTCTTAATCCCAATAACGTTCATTTGATTTTTAATTCGTCCGCTGGACTACTTTACGAATCAGAATCTGACCTCTACTTACGGAATAATAAAACTACACGTTTGTATTAAAAGAAAGCAACATTCAAGGTAAAATATTTTACGAACAAAATAATGGAGAAAGGTTTTTTTCTGTTTAACATTGAGTTTAAGTGGCGACCACACGACTGTATAATTAATGGGCCTGTGCTTTTGCTCCGAACGTTTCGTGTCAAGTTCGGCGGCCGGTGTAACCACACTGTGACTCACAGCCGGCACACACTCTACGAACATGTTTGTTTACTACTTAGACCATCCTTGTCATCTACTATATTCCGTATAAAATACTCTAATCGTCCTAATTGCAGACCGGTTATCAATTCATTCGGTTCTCGGTCGTATTTTCCAATTTTGAAAGCAGGTTTTAAAATATAATTAAAAATTATTAATGATATAAATGAAACAATATACTATAGCGCCACGTTAGACAAATCAAGAAGCTTGTACGAAATTGAAATGGGTCTATGTGTTAAACCAAACATTTAATTACCACCTACCTCGCAAACGACGAAGGTCCAAGTATTAACAAATAAATTCAATATTAACTTTCAATATCAGAAACTCAAACAAACCGAAATCCCTTTTACAAAATCGTTTTATGATTACACACACATTGCTTTATCAATAATTAAATATTGAATTTATCAATACATGCTTCACGCCACAAGTATCTATAGTAAACTAAAGGAATGCTCAAAGAATGAGTTCATACAGATCTTGGTGTTATCAGCTAGATAATGTTTATGTCCTTATCCACGAAAATTATCAGATAACAGCCGCGGCGCGCACGCTCCACCTCTTTCTTTCAGACGACAATCTTTTCATTTGTATGTACTTGATATACCTGTACAAATATTTGACAAAGAAAGTGACTTTCTGCATCTGTCACAAGTCACAAGTTAACTTATCTCAGTGAAAACTTTAACAATTGACGACAACAGGTCGACGTGACACCCAAATTATCATTTTCACAAAGCTTATATCGCACGCAAATATGATTTAGTTTGCGTATGTAGATGCAATTATTCAATCATTATCTTCGATAATGTAAAACGAAGTTAATACACACAAGTGATGAGACAGAGGTCAGTCTAGTCGTACGTAGAGGCGGCGCTAGTATCAGGCGTAGGGTTTACTACGATAGATAGAACTAGTGTACCGTAGCCAGTTTCGACAATGTCAGCCTCTGACCGTGACACCAAACCGGCAATACTCCAGATCAGATTTCAATTATTGCATATTGCACAGATTTCATAGACTACGTGAATTTACTTTAGAAATAGGTAAAGGAATCACGTGAAACAGTTCGTTCTGTTTAGTTATCTGTAAGTTAGCTCTATGTTATTGTCAGATTTATGAATGAACTACAAATGCAGAGAGTCCTTTGGAAACAAAATAATTGTCTGACAGCACAGGCTCGTTAGTTAGTTTTTCTAATACATTAATCATCTTCATGTAAACAGGCAATAAAGTTACTGTACAGATAATTACGACGGCTGTAATCAATGTATCAAGCCGCTGTCCTTTGTCTCTAATCACACGTGCAGTACAAACAACACGGAAATTTTATAAACTAACCTGTTCGACTGGTCCAGGGCGAAGTTCACGTAATCCTCACTACTTGAAACGTTTGTTCTTCGTTCCACTAGTGCGACCACGTCTCGTACCTCTATTACTACCGAAATTTGTAAAAATATCGATAAAAAATAGTCTATTCATGTATAAACAACAATCACAAGGCACTGTGAAGACACCGAAAGGTCCCGCTTTGTTCACTTTTTTCTTTGCAATTGCACGAAATTTCAAAGAAAATGTGTTCGTATATGTGGCGGGAACGGCTGCGATCGTTGCGCCACCGCGTGACACGACCTACCGCAGACCGCGAGTTTGGCAGAGTGTGCGCCGCGGCGCCGCGCTCAGCTTATAACCGAAGCCGCAGCACGGGCGCCCCACCGACACGGCGCGAAGCCTCCGCCCGCCCCTGTACGCGCTGCAACTTTACAGGAAAACTTAATGCGCTTTCGTTGAATACTTAACTTGTTCTTTATGGCACTAACTTCCAGTTTCTCAAATTTTACATGATATGCATGGATCATGACGATACATCACAGGAATCCACAAAGTTCGATAACATCTCTAAAGTTACTCACTAACATTTTTATCATTCCTACACGTGCTACGCCTAAATAACATTAATGTAGGTAATCAGTAGAATCAAAAGTTCCAATTACAACTCACTTTTTACACAGTATCGGTTGGTTTAAAAGCATTAGGTATATTGAGAAAAATCTGGATATAGATAGTAAACAATAATATTAAGTAGATATATACCATTACATAAATATCTAAGTACTTAATTAAGTATTTATGATTAGCAATTATCATGTAGGTAATAATATTAAGTAAATCCAAGTGTTAAGTTTACTTCATGAATCGCATTAATGAACAAAGCTCGTTGTAATAAAAACGATCGAATTATAATTGAATTATCACCTAATTGAAAACAATGGACAGAGAAAATGTTAGCCATAACTCTAATTACATGCCATTACTTGCGATGCAGGATAAAAGGAAAATCACTAGTGAGTACATGAGTACATGATACCATTACATAAGTAACAATCGTGCCACGTTTCTCGATAATAATTCATTTAAAATAACTATATTTTCCGTCAGCAGAATATTTCGATTGATCTTCAGTGTCATCATCATTAATGGGCGACTACAACCATTGTGTTTCCAGCTAGATTCTGTTCCACCCAATTAATTGAAAACTTGTCTAGAGACTTAGATTCCAACTAGCAGTGTATTAGTTTATTCCGAGAAAATACACATGTACGTACTTGCTTACGTACGTAGTTCCCACTTGTGATAACATACACAGGTTTACTTAAAATCATTTAGTACTCATTTTAAAAATGCAACAATATATTTCTTTCAGAACATACATACTGAGTAAAGCACATTGTTACTAAATTAATATATGAACTTGAAGTTTTTACGGTGTAACTTTTGGAAAATATAACGTACATAAGTATTTTCCATACCACCGTTCGTCAAAAGATGTTGTACTTCACACAACTAACACAACTTAATCAAACATTGTAATACTTGTCCTTAAATTAAGAACATTAGGATTTGAAAGCTTTTGATACAAGATAACCTGGACTTTAATCTTTGGGACTACTGTATGGGGAATACCGGTACAATAGAACTCACAGAATTTTTCCATGGTGCTATATTTCTAGGGAATATATCAAGTGAATTACAAAATAAACTAACACGGACCATTATAATGTTAGACTTCAATAATTACATCCATTATTGATGAATATACTTTATACGTAAGTGGAACCGCTGATTCTTGGTAAATAAAATACATTTACCACGAGTGTTTTACAAAAGTGAAACACTCGTGGTAATTCATTCGGACATTTTTGTTCACTCCAACAAGTGCATGAGTAATTCAAGTGGCTACCGATATTTATTATGATTTTATTTATCAGTCGATGTTCTGTATGTTGTCATATCGGTGCTAGTGTAATCCTTATTCATAATATCTGTAGAACTCGAAGATCTCGTGCAGACGACCTACATAGTTTTGTTTACTTGACATACAAGACTGTCTTCGGGATTTTCTGACAGGAAATAATTTACCAACTTGTGGTTGGCATAATGCCAACAATAGTGATAATCGGAACCTGATACACATACATTGAACTATAGATACAAACTACGAATGCGAAACATAATTTACGATCTCCGTGTAACTTGTACCAATTAGATTAAAACGTGTCGCTGTACTTACAATAAGACTATTGACTCTTTAATAGGGGAAATTAAATCAACTGTTCGTAATATTATGAAGCTATTGCACCATCGGTGGTTGAATATTCAACATTTGTAATATAAGCTCGTGTCGACAAAACCAAGACGTAGATACTGTTTATCGTTGCATGATCTATTTATTTACAAAGGAACCTTGTTTATTCATTCTGTGTCCTTCCTTGAAATTGTGTACAATATAATGGCCTTCTGTACTCTGACTGTCCTTCGAGAAATAAGAAATTTCTACATGAAATCTACTCTCGAGCATCTCAGTATTTGCAATAGAAGCATCACATTAATTAAAGGCAGGCTGATCAATTTTCATCTCGACGCTCAGTCAGTCTCAATTAGACTATTAATCTACGTAGATGTTACAGTAAAATAATGTACAATGTTATGTACGTAAATTATATCTATCAGTTTGACTTGCTTTGAGTTGTAGGACATAATATTTTTTTTCTTTCTGTCTCTTATAGTTTATTATGATAATGCTTTTTAAGTAATCTAAGAATTGTATTGTTAAATCAAATAAGTTTTGTATTTTTCATATCTTGTTTGTACTATCTAGTTGACTACCTGGTTGGCCGAGTGGTCGCAAGTACGACTACCGGGCAAGGGGTCTCGGGTTCAATTCCCGGGTCGGGTAAAGTATTACTGGGTTTTTTAAAAAAATCTCAATAGTAGCACGGAGTCTGGATTTGTGCACGGTATATGGCAATAGGCTCACCCCCTATTAGGTACATGGGACTCATAACATACTATAAATAGTGAAAAGCATTGTACAGTGGCATAATGTGCACTTCTGCCTACCCTTTCGGGGATAAAAGGCGTGAAGTTATGTTATGTTATGTTATGTTTATATTATCCTATAAATCAAAACATATAACCACATACTTTGCACATTTCATACGCGTCCTTGAGACGGTGATAAATAATTTTGCCTGTTTCCCATTGAGATTTGCATTTACTTATCGTTGTCCACCCTTTTAGCTGCTACATCCAATTGTGGATCGAACATTATATGGTGATGCGATAGCTCACTACGATCGCACCTGATTCATACAAATAAACAAATGTCTACATAAATTCGTTGTGCAACCTCGGCACGTTCAAGCATTATCAGCTATTGTACCCCTTTTCCCGGTAACAACTTGTATTTTATCGATACATCGGGAAATTTAACGGGTACGCGGTATTAGTTCATCGAGTATGACAATGTCGACCTTGGGAGGACCTGTCATGACACAGCCATTGTTTGCGGTGACTAAAGCTGGAGGGTGGAGAGTTGGTGGTAGCTTCCCCTGGTCGTGGTGACTCGGTGAGGTGAAGGTCGTACAGTCGTACGCGCGGTACAGTACTTACCAGTCATAACTAGCTTTATGTACCGCCTTTGATGCCGTGCCAACTTTCTTTGTTACGATGTGGCGGTATTGTTTATTGTGTCACCTAGCTCCGCGAAGGTTTACACTATTTACATGTTCCTTGTGCTTTGCATACTGTATCGTTATTGTTAGCTTATACGCTGCATTTGTTCTTATCTAGGAGCCCTTGTCGGGAAATAAGGAACAATGATATAATTTACGATTTCTTTCACAATTTTCCTAAGACATGAAACGTTTTGTTATTCAAGGTTATGGAGGTAAAATGTTTAAATGTATGTCATTTAAAAATACTTCTTCGTCTAATGCTGTTGATGTTAATGAGAGAGGTTTATTGCTGTTTTGCTGTTGACATGAAAATTGGTGTATAATTATGGTGATCATGAAAATCAGTTCTCTGGAAATTTGAAGATTTATCAATTGAGGAATCAATGAACCGAGCCCAATTACTTAAGTAGGTGGTATTAGCTTTACCTCGACAATTCTGAAAAATAATACCACAATGTGTAACGACTCTAGATATTTGTAACATTCACTGAAACTTTCAGAAACTTTCTGTGAAAAACGAAGAAATTTCTCAAGGTAAACAATAAAATGAAAATTAGGTTAGTTCTAGGAAACTATTGCCGAATACGGCTTCGATCGAGCCCCGATTACGGCGGAGGTCGGTGAATCAATCCGCCCCGAGCCCGACTCATACACTTACCGAGTATTTTACGACCCTATGCTTGAGGTTTTCCTAATAACAACATTCGTTCCTTTCCTTGATGGTTAGGAATTACAAATTAGCATGTATTTCAATGCACTGCAATGCAATTTATATCACTCTACATAAATTGCATTGCACTGCAATGCTTAAAAGTCCCAGATAGGTATGTAATAAGTCACTCGGATTACTCTGTCGTCGATATTTTATATTATTAGATTTTTGAGTCGAATGTAGTATTTAACATACAAGTTATAACACAATTAATATAATTATGCGCAATATTAATCTACTGATGACTGGCTTTTGCATTTCGTATATAGCTACATACATATCTCTCTACCAACCAATTTATGGGGAATACTAAGCATATAAGTCGTAAATATTAACCGCAACATCTTATTGAACGTTACTTTCATTATATGATATGTACATTGAATGGGTAAGAAGGTTTGGTTGGTTGAAGGTACTATACCACCCCCAATTATGTTTTAGACCTTACGTGAAAAGGATACGTAATGAATACATCATTACTTTCCTTATTTATTTACCAATACATGACGGTATATACCAATTAAAATGCGACATATAACCCTAGAATAGATATATATATATATTTATTTTAATGCAAATTCTACAATTTAAGATCAGATTGTGATTTATATGGCTACATTTAGTCCCGATCATACCTCCTATTCACGTATTTAGTGTTTGTTTGCTCGTGTAACCTTAAATTTATGGTACTTCTTTATTTACTTTATTTCTGGGTTTATTTCCTCTGCAGATTGAGCTTTATCCTTTAAAATCTATATGTATTTAAATGAAATGAAATCACCGAAACGTACGCACATAACTCTCAAATGACTGCACCAAATTGGATAATTCTATTTTTGCCATGTTTATTATTGTTTTATAGCTTCGATACATATGAAAGTAAAGCGAAGCTCTGAAAAGTGAAGCTGGGGCGGGC